AAATATCTCATTGGATATAAATTTAAAACCTTTCAACTATCTTTTTTGAACTCCCCTGCACCTCCAAAATAAAATAGGCATACAAGAACTGGGGTACAAGGGCCCTCCCTGGTGGCGCAGCGGGTTAAAGCACAGCACTAAGAAGCTTAAGCCACTTCCACATGAAATCAATCCCCGCCTGCCCCGGAGGTGACCACATGGCGTGGCAGACCTCTCCTGGCCCGCCCGCTGCGCCCCTCAGCAGAGTACTTTGTCGATCTGCCTGTTCTGCTCTCCACTCTGTCTCTGCTGAATCCTCTCACTCCCCCCGCCACATCTCTGGCCTGTACCCCAGTTCTGTATGAACAAATAAATCTTTAAAAAAAAAAAAAAGAACTGGGGTACAGGCCAGAGATGTGGCGGGGGGGGTGAGAGGATTCATCAGAGACAGAGTGGGGAGCAAAACAGGCAGATCTACTGAAATACACTGGGAGGGAAGCAACAGGCAAGACAGGAGAGGTCTGCTGTGCCATGTGGGTCACCTCTCTAGCCGGGGGTTGAACTCATGCTTCAGTGGTTGGCAAGAGCCTGATAGCACTGTCTTCAACCCCTGCACCACCAGGGAGACCCATAATAAGAATTTTTTTTAAGATTTATTTATTTATGCATACAGAACTGGGGCACAGGCCAGAGGTGCAGGGGCAGTGAGAGGATTCACCAGAGACAGAGTGGGGAGCAGAACAGGCAGATCAATGAAGTACACTGCTGAGGGGAGCAGCAGGCACGTCAGGAGAGGCCTGCCACACCATGTGGATCGAACTCATGCTGAAGTGGCTTTAGCTTCTCAGTGCTATACTTTAACCCACTTTGCTACCAGGGAGGGCCCCTAATCAGAATTTTTGATGAGAAACTATGGTGGGTACTTGGCATATATTAGCTCATTCACTCTTTGCTTTATCTACTTAAAGATGGAACAGTAGCAGGGAAAACAAAGTATTAGGGGTTCATCTGTGACCTGCAGAGAACAGTCTCAGAGTGTCTAATAACCTCCATGACAGAAAGGCTCAGCAGAGTCACAGCATCTGCCTTAAGGTAGAGAAGCCTTGCCAGCATACCTCATAATCACACAACTCCAAGAAAAGACGCTCTCTCTGTTGTAATTTGTAATTGTCTCCAAACACACCATCACAAAGATGGGTAGACTGTACCCTTGCCACACCCCTCCACTGTGAGTAACTCCTCTCACCAATGATTTGACAATCATGAACACAAGAATGGCCCAACTGGCAGTGGAGTCTATGGTGTGGCCAGCTGCCCCATGATATCTGGGACTGGAGGTCCTCAAAATACATTAAGTATCTCCTATAACTGCCAAATAATAAGGACCAGCCTGCCCTCAGTTGGGTGCAGTTCTAACAGGGCCCTGGACACCACCTGAGAAATGTTGCTTCATCAGAAGTCACGGAAGTCATTTACATCGTTCTGTTTCTAAATCTGAGTTAGCTCCAAACCTTGGATGGCCAGAGCTCCTGTTCCCCTCCTCGAAAGGGTCAGTGTCATCTTCCCAGGGAGAGTTACCCAGAGTTGGTAACTTGCAGGTCTGCAGGCTACAATGCCTTACAGATGAGGGGACACCCTGAGGGGCTCCTAGCTCAAGCCTGACGTCTGGTTCCCATTGACTCAAGCCCAGGAATCCAGCCAGGACATGATGACGAAATCACACAGAACTGCCTCACAGTTACACCAACACCTTCAAGTGCTGCCACCACCCAAGGACTTCAGTCCTGAGGAAACAGCCAGCCCTGCCCTCCTCTTCTCTAGTCCAGTTCTTCTGCATTGAGTCACCACCACATCCCAGATGGTCACTTAGCCCACACACCCCAACACCCCAGGAGCATCTTGGCACATGCCCTCCCCCCCTCCCCACCATGGTTTCTGCCCCACTATCCCAGAGCTCACAGGCTCCCACAGGAGGGTGCCTGGGGTGCAGAGGTATAGGGAAGTGGGAAAACTTAGGCTCCCACCAGCTTTTGCCTATTTTGTAAGGATTCAGGATAACATTCTCAAGCAGTCAAGGAAAACTACAAAAGTCAAGACAAACAGGCAACTGATCCACAACTTTAATTCCAACTTCATTTGACATAGAACACTGCACCTTTTTCTTTGGGAACTGGATTCTTCTTCAGCCATGAGAAGAAGGCCAGGGCCTTCTTCCAGGGCCATGCAGGATCAACTGCCTCTGGTGGCAGCCAGAAGCCCTTCATAAGTATCTACAAAGTATGCAACTGGGGTCTACCTTCAGCAGACCAAATGCCTCATTTCTTCCAGCATGCACAGAGGGACAGCCACCGAAGCTTCTGTCCTGTCATTCCACCTCCTTCAAAAAGTGCTCCTTCCAGGCCCTCACTGGTGGCGCAGAGGTTTAAAGTGCAGCATTAAGAACTAAAACCAGTTCAGTGTGAGTTCGATCCCTGCTCTGGAAGTGACCCACATGGCGCAGCAGACCTCTCCTGACTCGCCCACTGCTCCCCTCAGCAGTGTACTTCACCAGTCGGCCTGTTCTGCTCCCCACTCTGTCTCTGGTGAATCCTCTCACCACCCCTGGGAGAAGAACAGGGAAGAGGGAACCCCCACCCCCAAATCCAGCCCAGCTACCCAGAGCTCTGCTCATCAATGGCAGGAATAGCAGCTGAAGCCTGACCACTCCCACATTTTCTGGTTGAGCTTTTACTCCTCTGTTTTTCTTTAGACAACATTCAAAGCTATGGAGAAGTTGAAAATATAGTTCATAACCAAAGTCCCATTGTCACAAGTAAGGAAAGTAACATTTATTCTGTAAGATCTGATATACAACTCCTGTTCAAGATTGTACAACGAATGACCCCAACTAAAGTGGACCCTTGCTTGAAATGCTGACTGTCAGATTACACTTCCGTCTTTCTTGAATCAGTATGCAATCGGAGATGGCATTTTATTTTTGATGCAGGATCTAATCAAGGTTCACACATTATATTTGATGATCAGTCTCTTTAGTCTTTTATCTCCAATAGATTCTTTAGATTCTTATCTGTTTTTAAAGTAACATTGAATTTATTGATGGTTTTTGGGCAACTGTTTGGCAAAGTGTCTAATGTTTTGGATTTTTCTGTTTCCTTATAATTAGATTCATTACATAAGTTTGGAATGAATGGTACATGGGTAATAATGTGTGCTTCTTAATCTATCACCTTAGAAGTCATATGATATCAGTCATTCCATTACTCTAATAATAAAACGGATCCTTGTTTGAAATGTTGACTGCCAGTTTACACTTCTGTGTTTATAGAACCACATAATCTGATATTTTGAGACCATGTGAGCATACTGTCCCATAACTTTTCATTTAGTTTTTGCATCCATTAATGAGCTTATTTGGGATTTATAGGAAGAGAGATTCTCCAGATATATTAGCTGATGTTCTATAAAAAAAGAGCTTTCCAGTCCTTATTTTCTTTGGATTAGTACTACGATATGCTCATGAATTTTTCTGTATTATTCAATGTGTTATGACACATTGTTGTCACTATTCTCTCTGATGCTCCAGTCACTCTAGTTTTGCTGAGAGAGCCTATTACACCGACTTCTGGGTGCTCCACTGTGATCCCTTGGTCTTTGAGCACTACCTGGCTTTCTATTAGCCACAGGCCCGGGCTCACCTGATTCTTTCCCTGCTCCACCCTGGAATCGGTCATTTTTCTTGGCTCCTTCTAATGGGACTATTCCTCTCTTTCTAAGCCAATAAGCAACTTCACATTTCTTCACCCGACTCTAGTCATAGCTTCATTTTCCACCCTCCTCCTTCTCTATCATTAATCATTTGCATTAGCAGGGAACACTTTGCTGTGGGCTTAGGAAGAAGGGAGAGACAAAGACCTAGAGTAAATTTAGGGACATTATCAAACATTTACTGGTCAGTGAAAAGCTTCCTTTTGGTGACCACACAACTGGGTAATTCCACAGCAACATCTGTATCTCAAGTAATTGCATTATTTTATTTTATACTTATATAAAATATGTGTGCAATAAAAAAAAGTACCACCTACCTTCTGGGATTCCTTTCTCCTCCTTTTGCTTTATCTGTCTCTACTAACACTGACTGCCTTCTAAACTCTGTAAAAAATACTTTAAAACTTTTCATTCTCTTTTCCTAGAATACAGATTCTAGGAATGTCAGGCATTTCTCCGTGTCTTGCTTTTTTACTACTCTATTTGCAGAGTGTACAACAGTGCTTGGGGTTCAGGACACGATCCCTTATTGTTCATGAATGAGCAAAATGGCTGTCCAAGACCAAACGAAGAGCTGAGCAGGACCTCCTACTTATCCTTTTACTGTCACCCCCAAGTGACTTCCTTCCTATGTTCCCAGAGCCCTTCTTACACACCTAGATCCAAATACTTGACCTGCCCCATCATCAGTTATAGTCAGCCTCACCTGATTACTGGGAGATCCTCTAAGACAAGGGATGAGATCAGACTTACCTTCATGGCCTAGCAACTCTCACAGTTGTGACATAAAGATGCCTCCTGAACACCTCCTGCCTCCAGCAAGTGCCCTTTCCCACAACAGGGCGGCCTGCTGGGCTCTTCCACTCCAGGCAGCCTCTTGGGCTTCTGGGGACAGTTGCTCAGAGAGGTTCAGGCTCCGCCAGCAGCTCACAATGGGCCCTTTGACTCCACTGGACAGGCTCTTTTAAGAAAAACGTGTCTCCTGCCACAGCACCTGTCACTAATGTCCCTACAGCTTCAAGGCAACACAGAGCCAGTGTTCAGCAAGAAACTGGAGCAGGGATGTGAGGCCAGAGTGGGCAAAGCCACCTGACTTCTGGGAAGATGGGAGGTGGAGTGGTGAAGCGGAGAGGGCCTTTCATCAACAGACTGCTGATACTCAGGCCCTGTGAATAGCCGAGCAGGGATGGGAGGGGACAGGTTAAAAGAATATAAAGATTAGAACTTGGAAGAGATTGGCCTCAGAGATAGCTTACTTGTTCTTTTCTTTCAAACTTCTTTTCACTTTGTTCAGAAACTGGACCCTCGGGAGGTACAGTCAGCCGTAATCTGCAGACATTTGCCTAAGAGAGAGAAAAAGCCAGTTAGGAGCCATTTTGGGGTAGAAAGAGCTAGACGACCTTGTGCTTCTCGGGGGCTGCTGTGCGATGGAGAGAATTGTACCCATCACACTGGGAGACTCCGCCCGGCCCCACACAGGCAGTTAACACTGCTGCTCAACAAGGAAACCACTGAACAATTTCACAGATTTCAAACACTGTTAATGGCTCAGGTTACATAACAGCAACCTTAATTCATACACCAGACGATGAAATACAGCAAGAGGGACATAGTAGTGACTGGGCATAAGGGTATTTTCCACTTGGTTACAGATTGAAATTTCCTACAACAGAACTGTACATGTTTTATAACAAAAAAATTTTTAAGTCTATATGCCCACATGTATGTACCTTTATTCATAATAGGCAAAAGGTGAGGACAACCAAAATATCCATCAAGGGGGGGGTAATATGGCTGCATACATCTGAGGAGGTGTGGACCTCACCCCCTAAATCATGTACAGTGTTATAAATGAATGTTACATCAATAAAGAAACAAAAATCTCAACTGATAGAGGAATGGGTAAATAAAAGGTGACAATACATAAAATAGAATACAACCAGCTGTGGGTGCTTATGAGTTGGCTCTTTGTGGGCCACACGTGAGCAACTGTGATCTCTTTGCTATCTACAAATCACAGCAGAACATTCCTTAACTACCTATGAAGAAAAGCCCTTATCCTGAGGCCGGCTGGGTTGTTAGGCCACTGTTGACCTGATTACGCACCTATCTTCCATGGTGGTCCTGGGATAACTCTGCCTGTGATAACATCAAATATTTTGCTGACGCAAATGTCTTTTGACGTATGGTCATGATGTCCCCTTCCCTGTCCCTCGTAAGACTTTGTCCCCCATTCCTATCCCACCCTCCAGACTTTATTCCTCATACCACTGTCACAAGATCAGTTTTTAATAGCCTGTACGCTTTCAATGAATGACACAGAACTGCTGTTCAATTAGCAGTCTTGACTTGCAAACTTGCTCCATGACTGTTGTGTTCCTCAGAGGGTTCCCCGCCATAAAGCAGCAACAAAGTTCCTGTAGCAACATACAGCCTTTAAAAAGGAGATTCTGTCAGATGCTATTGACACACATGGATAAACCTTGAGAACACTATGCAAGTGAAATAAGCCAGTGATACACCAATCCTATATGCTTCCATTTACATGAGGTACATAGAACAGTCGAATACATAGAGCTGAAAATTTGAATGTTAAGATCGCCATAAGTAGGCTCTCCCTGGTGGCGCAATGGGTTAAAGCACCACATTATGAAGCTCTCCGAAGCCACTACAGCATGAGTTTGATCCCCTGCCAGAGAGACATGGCGCAGCAGACCTCTCCTGACCTGCCCACTGCTCCCCTCAGCAGCGTAGTTCCTCGATCTGCCTGTTCTGTTCCCCACTCTGTCTCTGGTGAATCTTCTCACCCACCACACCTCTGGCCTATACCCCAGTTCTGTAAGCATAAATAAATAAATATTAAAAAAAAAAAAAAAAAAGAGATCGCCAGAGGCGAAGGAGATGAAGGAGTGGGGAGTTTTTATTTAATGAATACCGCGTTTCCAAGATGAAAATGTTCTGGAAATGGATGGTTGGTAATCATTACACAGCAATAAGAATGGACTTAATGCTACATTGTCACAGCCTGGTCTTGCTGTGACAGTTCCCAGCCTAAAGTTATCCTACCATTACAAAAAAATGTCTAAAGAGGGTCAAAGAGGGTGGATACCAGAGTACCCATCCCATAGCGAGATGGGCCTTAGTAAAGAGCTGTTTTTCTTGCAGTATGGGTCCACCCCTCTAAAATTTGTATGTTGAAGTCCTCACCCCAGCAACTCATAATGTTACCTTACCTAGAAATAGAATCTTTACAGAGGGGAGCAGATTAAAATGGGCCTCCATCCAAAATGATTGATGTCCTTTTAAAAAGGGGAAATGTAGAGACAGGTGTGCATGTTGGAACAATGCCAGGTGAGTAGGTCAAGGAAAGGGAACAGGAATAGACTCCTCCCTCACAGGCCTCAGAGGGAACCAATCCTGCTGACACCCTGATTTCAGATTTTCAGCTTCAGATCTGTGAGACAATACAATTCTGTTGTTTTAGTCACCAATGGTACTTTTTTTTTTTTAAAGATTTATTTATTTATTCGTACAGAACTGGGGTACAGGCCAGAGATGTGGAGGGTGAGAGGCTTCACCAGAGACAGAGTGGGGAACAGAACAGGCAGATCGACGAAGTACACTGCTGAGGGGAGCAGCAGGCGGGTCAGGAGAGGTCTGCCTCGCCATGTGGTCGCCTCGGGGGCAGGCGGGAATCGAACTCATGCAGAAGTGGCTTAAGCTTCTTAGTGCAGTGCTTTAACCCACTGTGCCACCAGGGAGGGCCCACCAATGGTACTTTTTACAAGAGCCCTAGCAAACCAATACGGTCCCCAACTTGGTTTGAAGGGTGATGGGTCTGCCCTGGTCCACAGAGCAGACATAAACAAAACTACTTTTAGCCTTGAAAACAAGGATGGGACATTTGAAGTCCAATCTTCCAGGAACCTCAACATCAACAAAGTACCACGCAGGTTAATGTCCACTTTGAGGGGGATGTTTCCATGCTCAGAGGAGGGAACCCACGTCTGCATTATGTCTTAGCTCTTCCACAAATAATGTCACCTCCCCTCAAGACATCCCACTTTGCTACGAGGCACCTCTAACTTCCAAATAATGAACTTACCTAACGGACACAGGAGCCCCAGTGGAACTCCCCTTTCTCTATACAGGCCTCCTGTGCTGATTCTCCTTTTCCTCTAGATGAAATAACCCCAGCTCATTCAATCACTGGTTTTGATTTGAAGATCTCTTCAACCTCATCCTCCTCTGGGCAAGCTTAGTGCCCCAGTGATTCCAGGGTCAGCTACAACCTGATTCTCCATCACTGCCTCTTATATATGGTAACTTGACAACAAATCAGCAAAGTTCACCATTAGTTATGGTGACCAGAAAGAAACCAAGCCATTCCACTAGATAGTTGCTGACAGGCAACAACAATAGTGGGAACCCAAGACCCTCCAGAGGAAGGCAATCTTCTGATTCAGGTCACCTAAACTGGTTGAAATCATTCTGAAATTTGTAGTTATCAAAAGTAACTTGGGCCCTCCCTGGTGGCGCAGCGGGTTAAAGCACAGCACTGAGAAGCTTAAGCCACTTCCGCATGAGTTCGATTCCCGCCTGCCCCGGAGGGTTCAATACCTAATAGTCTTCCCCTAGTTTTATTTCTGGTTTTGTAATAAATTTCTTCCAATTGTGAAGGATTAAAAAAAATCTGTAGCTTGGGC